CTGGAGTCGCATATCATCGACCAGGGGTTGGCCGACATGATAGCGTCGGCTGAGGTGATCACTCAGGACTCTGAGAAGTACATCGAGCAGCTCCTGGAGCTATTCAGACGGTTCTCACTGCTAGTCAAACAAGCCTTCAATGACGACCCGAGGTTCTTGACCTCCAGAGACAAAGTATGACCACTTGTTTAGCCATAATCTATTGACCACTTATTGGTACCAATTATTTGTCATTTATTGTATTTATTTATTAAGTATTGAGGGAAAGGGATGAAGTATTGACTATTTTAAGGGAAAGGCATGATAACTGTATTGATTGTTGTGGTGTTTTATAGGCCTTTAAACAAGTTGTGAACGACACGTCAGTGTTTCGCTTAGAGCTACCGACCCGTCAATTGAAAAGGTATTTGTTTTTTGAATTGTTTTGTGGTTTGAATTGATGTTTGATTTGCTAATTGTTTGTATGCATAGCGTAATAAGTAATGCTAGTAAAGTGCAACCGGAGTCCCGGTGCCCCGAATTGTTGGCCAATTACTGTGATATGTTGCTCAGGAAGACACCCATCAGTCGGAAGCTCACCAGTGATGAGATCGAAGCCAAACTCAAGGAAGTGGTCAGTCGTGCGCTCAGAATAATGTTTTTACATAATTACTAACCAATTGCATGTCAAACAGCTACTGGTGCTGAAGTACATCCAAAACAAGGATGTATTCATGCGCTACCATAAGGCACACCTCACGAGACGACTGATACTCGACTCGTCGGCCGACTCCGAGAAGGAGGAGAATATGGTTGAGTGGCTCCGGGACGTGGGAATGCCGGCCGAGTATGTGAACAAATTGGGCCGTATGTTCCAAGACATTAAGGTGTCCGAAGACCTGAACCAACAGTTTAAGAACGCCAATAGGCTGTCCACTAATGGTGTTACCGGCGCTCATCATTTGCCGCCCGATAGTATAAATATTAAGATACTGAACGCCGGCGCCTGGGCTCGGGGTTCAGAGCGCGTACAGGTGTCGCTGCCTCTGGAGATGGAGGACATCATACCAGAAGTGGAGGAGTTCTATAGGAAACAACATAACGGCCGCAAACTTCAGTGGTATCACCACATGTCCAACGGAACGGTATGTGCTTTGTTGTGACCTTTTTGATGATAATTGTTGACCACTTTGTCGGTTTCGGTGATAATTGCAGTTAACGTTTAGCAATAACATCGGGAAATTCGATTTAGATGTGACCACATTTCAAATGGCAGTGCTATTCGTGTGGAATGACAGACCATTTGATAAGATTAGTTACGAGAATCTAAGGCTTGCCACAGAACTGCCCGACCCTGAACTCCGCAAGACTTTATGGGTTTGTGTTTTTGATGCATTTGTCGTTTTGTATGCATTTTAATGATTGTTTTTTGTGTGTAGTCTTTGATTGCTTTTCCGAAACTCAAACGACAAGTACTCGTCTGCGAAAGTGATGTGAAGTCTGTCAAAGACTTCGATGACAGCACTCTGTTTGCCATTAATCAAGAGTTTTCTGTCATGTATGCGTCCATTCATGCCCTCTCTTACTCCCTTTCCCTCCCTATTGACAACTATATTAATGTGATTGTGTGTCTGTGCCCACAGCAAGAACGGGAAGTCCCAACGACGCGGTAAAGTGAATCTCATCGGACGCCTACAGTTGGCGACCGAGAAGTGTCGCGAAGAGGACAACGAATCGATAGTCCGCTTAAGAATACTTCGAACCCAAGAGGCGATCGTAACCATAATGAAGATGCGCAAGACTATGACCAACGCTCAGCTCCAGACAGAACTCGTGGAGATCCTGAAGAATATGTTTCTGCCGTCCAAGAAGATGATCAAAGAGCAGATCGAGTGGCTTATAGAGCACCGGTATATGCGTAGGGATGACGACAATATCGGTCTATTTATATATATGGCGTAATCGAGGGTCTGGCAGGTGTTTGACCGCCTGTTGTCCACCCTTTGGATGTGTATTAATGTATCGATTATGTGGTAATTGATTGGGATGTGTGTTAGCGTACTATCCCCAGCATGTGAGGTACGGGAGGTTTAGGAGGTGTTTATGAATGGCTAATAAATTATCTGTTTTTTAATTATGATTTCTTTATCACCATTAATACCATTCAACGCATTGTTTTAATTAATTAATTGTTTTATGAGTTTTTGTTATAAATTTTTGTATTTTTTATCATTTATTTGATTTGTTTAATGAATTTTGTTTTTAAAAATTAGTAGTTTTTCTCAGTTTTCAGATTATTTTCTGTCTCTAATTATTTAAGCGATTAATTAATTCGACGATTAATTGTTATGTAAATAATGTAATAATTTTTCTAATTAATGATAAATCATATGTATTTTAATTGTATTATAAATTATATAATTATGTATTAAAACTGATTACTAATTGTTGAATAATTATTTGAATTAATAAAACACTAATATTATGAATAAATTGTGTTTACCGTAATTGATTTTAAATTGAATGGGTTAGCCATCGGGTCAGCCCCTACACCACAATTACCGATAGTTATCAATACTATATTCTAGTGTAATTTGTTTATACATTACAAAATCGGAAACTAAATGAATTTTGAAAGGCATTCATAAACTGATAAATTCTTGAAAATTATGCAAAAAAGTATTATTTATTACATTGATTTTCTAAATAAATAAATTTTCTAATCATTTGTTTTAATAATTAATCCCACAATTAATATTTACAATTTAAACTAATAAATATATAGAATATTCATTAATATTTGTTCAGTACATAGGGTTACATAAGCGTAAGTAAGTCACGAATCGATTCCCATAACAACCAGAATATTCCCAGAATCACAACAAATGCAGTAAATTCACAGTTTTGTACATAACTTCCCACTCAATACACCACCAAATGATGGGTGAAAAATCGCCACCAAATCATCGCAAAGGATCCCACGATGACCAGGCTCACACTGACCAACAATCACCTGGA